TTCATTCTGCACCAAAAATATGCTGCATTAAGCCAGCCTGAATTTCCAATAAAAACATTTCATATTGTATCATGTTGCATTTATTGTATGGCAGTTTATTGAACCTACAGCACACAAGCCACGGCAGTTCATTTTCCTGTAAACTACATTACTCTCGAGATAATGAGATGTGCATCATATTGTGTTAGCGTAGAAGGAAAAAGCTTCGTCTTCATAAAATATGATGTATTTATTGTTAAAATAATGGAATAGCCACCATAAAGAATCGTAATGGAAAAAAGTTTAGATATCATCGTTCTTATGTTTGAATAAATTTAATGAAAAAAATAAATTCTGAATGCAACTTTTGACATAGCTAACGCGAGTCAGAGCCTACTCCTGAGTAAAGCCAGTTTCCAGAAATACTAATGGATTATTTCTCCAGCAGCATATATTACTAAATATTATCCCGTATAGAGTAGTATGAACAGCATTAGTCGGTAAAGAGATCGATATATATCTCAGAATATATTGTATTGTTACATTTACAAATAAATCGTCTAGAGCAGAGGAGCAGGGCAACTAATAACCTCTTCAAAATGATTACGATTACTTTTAACTATGAACAGCTTAACTCTTCATACTCGCAAACACAATGTTTTGAAGCCTCTTTTCTAGGTCATAGAAAACTAAAGCCAGTGGACAAGTACAGTTAACTAATTTCGTCCAGGGGCACAGGAAAAGTAAGAATGTTTATTTAAACTTCATCTTGTGGACAGAATGTCCAGACACTGAGGTAGGTTAATTGGACAGTCTAGCAAATGGCATTCGGAACAAATAAAATATCTCTTGTCCCTTGTATCCTGGTCACAGCTCGTCTTACTTCATAGTATTTGGGGCCCAGTCTTTTGCTACACTTAGCCTACAATTAGCCTTTCCTCGATCTCGGCATCGAAAATATGCAGCTTCATTTTATACGCTTCTGAATAATAATAATAATAATGGGTCATAAAGCAGATAGGAACTATCATGACTGCTGTGATAGAGGACGCAGGTCTGGGCAAATTCTTCAAAGTCCTTTTTCACTCCCAATAAGTTGTGAAATTACGGTCATACTAAGTAAATACAGCTAAAAAAGGCTGCAGCTAAACCTAAATTGCATTAAGAAGCATTGTCTATTCTCTCTGATTGCTCTAAAGCTCTTTTTTTAAGTGTTGATGTGATATACCACATTTGCGTTCTACCTTGTTCGGTACCTGTACTATCTCGGCTAAAGCCTCGAGTCCCTCCTAATTTGGGTCTAAAGCCTAATAGCCCTAATGCAGCAAGTTGGCTGATGTGCTTAATCAACGCTCTCGTGTGGGCGGTATCTTTTAGCTTCTGAGTGAGGGATTGCATTTCCAGATTGCATCTAATTGAGCAACCCTGTGCCATTCCTTGAATCAAGCATAATTCGGTTAAGAGTTACTTCGTCTTGTCCATCAAATATTTATAAGTGGCCGACTTGTGGCAGGATTTGGGACAGATCTAATTACACTGGGGCTGAAAGAACATGTGAAATTGGCAATCAGCGTCTTTATGTACCGTTTTCCGCGCTTGTTCTCTTCCTGTTCTAACTACAGTGCACTACATCTGCATATTCAAAGTGATAAATCTATATTTTTCGTATATAAGCAGAGTCTATAAACTACCAGTAAATCAAATATGGGATGTATTCACCTTATTTCCTTTAAGGTGATGAAAGACTGGCACTCAAACTCTCAAGCTGCACTGTGGATGTTGATAATACATGTGCGAGGTCCTGAATTAGAACAACTTTAGGGAAAGCAAGGCTATGTAAAAGTGAATGGCAACATTGACTCTACTCATATCATTGTGAGAAAATTCTACTACCAGTCTTTCACTAACTTGAACCGAATTGGGTATATACCTCTCATATAACTGATAAATCTATTATCGCACAGACTAGTTCCTTGATCTGATTTATGTTTTTTTTAATATGCATAATTAAAGTATCTCTGCTAAGATCTCTGTTAGAAGTTGGAAGTTGCCCGGTGATTTGTACTTCCCTCAAAAATATGTAGTATAATGAAAAATTTGTAGGGTCTCTTAGGAAAATAGTCCTTGTTCAATAATTTGTTAAGTTAAGGCTCATTTTTTGAAATACATCTGTAGTTATGCTGTCGTGCGAAGTAACAAAGAAATAAATGATACATTAAATGATAGATAAATAAAGTTTGAATCCACAATAATAATATTAATAAATTAACTATGAGCTCATATGAATAATTTTATAAAATATAAATTGAGTGACTTCCGGCTTTTCTCCCTATCAATGCAATTGTCTGATTTACTATTTTCTTAAATGCCATCCGAATCATTCATAAAGCTATCCTTTTACCTTCTCTTTGCCGGGCTTGCTATGCTTGATTCTATTTTAGGTATATTTACATGAGCTTGGTTGGTGTGCGAAGTAAGCATTTACCAGCGCATCTCCCCATTCCTTTCTGAGGGGAAAATGCAAGCCAGTAGTGCCCTGTGGAAAGAGCGATATATATGAAAGCTTTTAACAATAGGAATATGCATAATAAAATCATTGATTTCTAATAAACGGGGCATAAAGCTCATTATAAGCTCATTGCAATTATACTAAAATGTATTATGGACAAATACAGTAAAAGATGTATATGAATATGGTGTCTATGATGTAAATGGATCGGAACATATAGCGTCATATAATTGTTATAGTGTTGGAAAAAGATATATAAATCTCTAAAATAAATTAATTTTAAACAGTTGTAACGGGTTGTTTTTTTAACTAAAATATTGAATAATACGGATACTTGATTTATAAATATGGATAAACTTGAGGAATGAGCTTCAGATAGCCCAAAGATCAGTCATTACTGACATCCAATAATTTCCAAGCATACCGGCATGGAAACTATACCAATCCGATTTTCTAAGTAACCTCGAGTAGGCCATGAGGGCTCTTTGTTTTATTATTGGGAGCCCATTTCCTAACCTTAGAAATAGTCTTTCAAGATCTATTAATATTCTATACATATGTTGTAGCACGAAAGTCTCAGAAGGGTAATAGTTAAAGGCCATTTTTGCTCAAAACGAATCCATAGAATAATCTAGATATCTCAAGCTAACATAGCATTATAAAATGGTCTCCATAGTTCTATATATAAGCACAGGAAGCAATAATATATTCAGAGAAAATACTAGGGCACAGAAGTTCTAATCACATTTGTGAAATGCTAAATTTGTGAAAAAAACTTCTTTGAAGTAAGCCTTACATTGTTTTGACCCCTGGCGATGCATGAATTAAGTCTTAGTGATTGATATCTTCAAGTTGAGCTCACATAATCTCTATAGTGCGTAAACATAATAGATTAATTTCGATATTTTAATTAAACCTGATGGTTAATTAGGGAATTTCAATATCAATCTCGTTTCTGATTATAGTAAAAAAAATAATGTATGTCCAGTATCCGTAAACTTCTAACGGAGTTTAGACTAACTTATACGACTCATAAATTAAAACAAAAATTGCATCGCACAATCATAAACTTATGTTAGCATTGGCTTCCAGTAAATAATTCCTTTACTTTTGAGATTTAGTATTCTAGGCTGCTAAATGCCAAAATGGTCAATTTCTAGAAAAATTATAATGCAGGTTTTAATTGAATATTTTTCAATCCCTTATTTTTAAACTAGACTAACCCGAGAGCTCCAAAGTTGGGCTTAAGCATAAAACCAAATTCATACAGAAAAACGAGTAAAAAGCCTAATAAATCTATATTTTAATCTAATGTATATGGCCTTAGTTTCTTCGCAGTATCCTTTCGCTATATGGAAGGGGTTTGACATAATATTCAGAATTTGATCGTATTATTAGGGCAACCCAGATGTCCAGTTTATCCAGAATCCTTTTTTATAGTAGTCATGATAATTTATAGCTT